CAATAGTGTCCCTCTTCAGTGTCCACACACCCCGACACACTATTGCTCTCACCTTAATGTCTGACCTGTATCCCAGGTCAAACTGCGCTTTTCCCTTTCAACCAGGTAGGTATATTGATGTAACTGTTCTTTCACCGTCAGCTTACTATCAGGTGTATTACTGTTCTTCCACCATCAGCTTACTATCTCCTCCAACTCCACTCCATACATATGAAAAAGATACTCCTCCTAGTGTAGTATTATAAATAAAACAACTTTCTTAAAATACAAAAATTTCCACTCACATTTGATAGTCCAAGACACTGAGATAAACTCTTTGTGTGTGTTCATGCTGTTTTCCTATACCAAACAATTGCGGCTTGACGTCCCCAGCACTACATGTTACGTCACATGTCACATGTCGTGACTTCATCACAATACATTGTGCCAACGCTAGTTCTTTGTGTGTGCTACACTGGTGTGCATTGTGACAAAATTATGCATGTATACATTTTATATCCAATAAAAAATACATTACAGCGCATTGAAATATGTCGCAAGCACTAAAGTTCAATGCATTGAAACAAAAAAAAAACTCAAATTCAAGCACTGAGATGCATTGAAACAATGCTTCAGCACTTGTGCAACATGCATACTTTCACGTGTCGCATGTCTACTGATGTAAGCGAGCTCTGTGTGCACCAGCACATGTAAAGTGTATTACCGCTACATTTTTGTATGTATGAGTGTGTACATATTTTGTGTGTTTGTGGGGGGGGGGGTTTGTAAACCTCAGCAGGAAAGGGCATCAAGTTGAAGCATATTTTTTGCATGTGGAAGTCACAGATCCGTGGTTACATGCATATAGCCATGTCTGTCAGTCTGTCATTGATTTGTACAGGCTTCTACCCACTGCTGTACACAAACATCAGCCTGAGCAAATCAATGACAGACTGCCAGACATTGTGGCTGTATGCATGGAAGCGCACATCCAAGAGGTTATATGCATATAAGGATGAAAGAGTGGCTCAGTTTACGTCTAAGTCCTCATCAGGGGCGGACTGACAACTCATGGGGCCCCCGGGCAATAGGGGATCATGGGGCCCCTGTGTCCTTGCCCAAATTCAAAAAAGCCAATGAAAAAAGGTACCAGGGGCATATCATGGGGCCCCCTACTGACCCCGGGCCCTCGGGCAGTGCCCGAGTTTCCAAATGTTCAGTCCGCCCCTGGTCCTCATGCACACTGGGCATTTTTACAGCTGCTGTTTTTCGTTTTTGACGTTTTTTTTCTATAGCCAGTAAACTCCCCAGCATGTTGTCCTATGTGTCCATGCACACATAGGCTTTAATCAGCATTTTTTGGCAGGAGCGTTTTTTGGCTGGGAAAAAAAAAAGAACTATTGAGTTTTTGTAGCTGTAAAAACACTAACACTGAAAAATGCGGTAAAACGCAGCAAAATGTTGTAAATCTGCGTTTTTGGAAATTTTTTTGAGCAAATATTTTTGGTGTGTAAAAAAAATGCTAAAAACCGCAAACGCATAAAAACGTGGCAAAACTCAGCTAAACACTAATGCAAAAATGCAGAAAAACTTGCGTTTTTGACGTGACTTTACACAGCTAACACTACCAGCGTTGTTAAAACACCCAGTGTGCATGGAGCCTAAGACATATGGTTACATATGTACAGTGTCTGTCACGCTTTCATTGATTCATGCAGGCTGCTGTTCACAGCTGTAGACAAAACACCTTTAATTGCCTGGTACAGGGTGAATGAGTGGTATGTTTTTGTGGCTGCAGCCACCTAGAGCTGCCTGAAAGCATCCTATGTTGGAGAACTAGGAAGCCCTTTGTGTTATATAAGCTTGAACCCCTTATATGAAGCTCATATTTTCTCAGATTCCTTTTTGTGTTGTTCACAACACTAGCAATATTTTTGTGTACCATAATACAGGAAATATTTTGCTTAGCCTGGGAGAGGGACACTGTGGCCATTTCCAGGACCTGGTATAGTATATTGCATTATTGCTCCAGGTCTGTTTTACAATGCTGCTTTACCTTATCCTCCTGCGTTCATGACAACATAGCATGCAGTGAATGAAGTATTTGTATGATACTCTCCCATTATGTAACAGGACAGAAATTACAGTTTTCTGTTTATCTCTTCTCCATGTTCTATCTATTTGGAAATTGTTAATAAAAAGATTGAAAGTAAAAAAAACAAAACAAAAAAAAATTCACGTGATCCAACGGTTGATGTGGCTGGCCATAGAGTTGATCGGGGACTGGAATGTCTGCAGTCATCTCTATGGTCTAGCAGACTAGAAGCGAGGAACATTTTGTTACTTCTGGTTAGGGAGAAAGCAAACAAGGCCACTTTTTATGAGGGGGGGGGGGGGGGGGGCATCAGATCAATTTTTTTAAATGATGCTTTCAAGGGTAGAGGATAGATCTGGGGTCTGCACAAAGAGGACCTGTCATACATTATTGCTATCACAAATGATATTTACATTTCTTCTGACAGCAAGAAAAATGATATAAAAAAAAAACAATTTAAGGGACAGTGTAAAAAAAAAAATATATATAATAAAACAAATAATAATTTTTAAAAATTAAAGCGCCCCTGTGCTCACGTGTAGAGGTGAACGTATACATAGGTCGTCCATGCGTATCTAAACAGTGTTCGCACCACACATGTGAGGTTTTGCTGCAAATGTTATAGCTCCATAGTTACATAGTTAGTCTGGCTGAAAAAAGACAAAAGTCCATCCAGTTCAACCAAAAAAAAAAAAAAGTTATAATCCTATACCCACAGTTGATCCAGAGGAAGGCAAAAACCCAGAAAAGCATGATCCAATTTGCCCCTGAATGGGGAAAAAATTCCTTCCTGATCCCCCGAGAGGCAATCGGATATTCCCTGAATCAATTTTACCTATTAATGTTAGTAACCAGTCATATTCTGTGTATCATAGTGAAAGCAGTATTTCTAGCACTAGACCTCCTTTGCAACTCTAAAATGGAAAGCTGTAAAAATGTTTAAAGCATCACCTATGGAGATTTTAAAATATCGTTATTTGTCGCCATTCCATGACAGTGCACAATTTTAAAGCATTACATGATAAGTATCTATTTACTTGACATAACATCTTCTTTCATACTGTACAAAAAATTAGGTTATATATTGTGTTTTTTTGGCATTAAAATTAATTAAAGTGTATTTTTTTAAAAAATAAATTGCATTTGAAAAACCGCTGCGCAAATACCGAGACATAAAAATTGCAATGACCACCATTTTATTCTCTAGGATCTCTGCTAAAAATATATTTAATCCATGGGGGTTTTAAGTAATTTTTTTAGCAAAAAATACATATTTTTTTCCTTGTACTGTAAAAAAGTGTCAGAAAAGGCCTGGTCTTCAAGTGGTTTTAATATTATTTATAGTGGAGTAAGCTGATTCACATATGTACATAGATCCAAACATGGTCAAGGCATGTGGTGGTACCTTGGTTGGATCAGTGAAATCAGCCTCAGGCATAGTCTGTAGCCAGAAGTTACAAGGATCACATCCTCCAAACTATTCCACTGCAACACTTGTTAGCAGATCAGTAGTTTTTTGTCGTTAGAGATCTCTTCCCACTGGAAGGTCTGCATCACCTTTTTTGAAAACACTCTGATATCCTTGACCAGGGGACTAAAGATGGCTTGTTCCCGGTCCCCCCTGACCATTACCTACCCCCTTTTACCTTAATAATGCCCTTTTATTACAACTATCAATAAATAACATTTAAATAACGTAAAACACAGTATAACATACGTTTTCAAGGTCCCAATAGGCATCAAGAAAAGAGAATACCCTGCTTAAATAGGTCTCCAGTCACAACACCACCAACTCATAGACAACCACCGCAGATACCTCCATCAGAACAACTGGAAGCCGGGTCCCTACAAACTATCTTTCTTGTGCCCACAGTAACCTACGAGGACCTTGCACTCCGCAGGCTGCCCCTCAACACCAACAAGCACAACCACCACCAAAACAAACCATGAAACAATGGGTGGATGGGAGGGAAGTTTTCCTTGTCAAATCCTTCTTCTGACTGAAGCCCCCCTGCCACACCCTGTCAGACCACCCCCTTGTGGCTCCACCCGCCTCCTCCTTAAAACCACTTAAACTCCCCCCTTAATTAATAGGACTCTCCTCTCCCAACCACTTTTAACGCCTGTCATGCCGGCCCTTCGTTCATGTCTTTTTCTTTTCTTCTACTCCGGGCCTCCCTTAATGAGGAATGGATTCTGGATGAGCAGGAGGAGCTGCTCTTCAAGACTGTCACTGAGTTTGGAGCCGGACTTTGATGCGACTTTGAGTGTGACTCCCTGGATCAAAGTTGCATCAAAGTAGCGCAGGCACCTTTTAAAAGTCGCTGCAACTTTAAGTTGCACAAATTTGAAAAGGTGCCATTGAAAAGAATGTCTTCCAACTGTTGATGTCCAAAGTGTAGGATATTGTGTATATATATATATATAGACACACACACACATATATATATATATATATATATATATATATATATATATATATATACACACACACAGTTGTGTTCAAAATAATAGCAGTCAGACATCACTAGCCTGATCAATCACTGTTTTTGGTAGAAATGATATTTCTACATGGCAAATAATTTACTAGCAGGTGTAGTAGAGTAATAGAAATCCAACCGACCCAACAGTCATGACATGCATGCTGCTGATTCTGTGTAATTGAATCACTAATTGAAAGGGGCATGTTCAAAATAATAGCAGTGTGGAGTTCTATTAGTAAGGTCATTCATTCTTTGAAAAACAGGTGGCAATTATTGCCCTTATTTAAGGAAGGAAGGCAGCAAAGGTTGTACATGCTGGTCACAGCGCATTTCTCTCTGCAATTCTGAGGAAAATGGGTTGTTCCAGACATTGTTCAGAAGAACAGCGTACCTTGATTAAAAAGTTGATTGGAGAGGGGAAAACATATAAAGAAGTGCAGAAAATGATAGGCTGCTCAGCTAAAATGATCGCAAATGCTTTAAAATGTCAACCAAAACCTGAAAGACGTGGAAGAAAGTGAAAAACTACCATTCAAATGGATAGAAGAATAGCCAAAATGGCAAGAACTCAGCCAACAATCAGCTCCAGGAAGATCAAAGAAGGTCTAAAGTTACCTGTGAGTACTGTGACAATTAGAAGACGCCTATGTGAAGCCAAGCTATCTGCAAGAAGCCCCCGCAAAGTCCCACTGTTTGAAAAAAAGACATGTGCTGGAGAGGTTACAATTTGCCAAAGAGCACATTGACTGGCCTAAAGAGAAATGGCGCAACATTTTGTGGACTGATGAAATTAAGATTGTTCTTTTTGGGTCTAGTGGCCGGAGACAGTTTGTCAGACGACCCCCAAACACTGAATTCAAGCCACAGTACACTGTGAAGACAGTGAAGCATGGTTGCACAAGCATCATGATATGGGGATGTTTCTCATACTACGGTGTTGGGCCTATTTATCGCATACCAGGGATTATGGATCAGTTTGAATACATCAGAATACTTAAAGATGTCATGCTGCCTTATGCCGAAGAGGAAATGCCCTTGAAATGGGTGTTCCAACAAGACAACGACCCCAAACACACCAGTAAACGTGCAACATCTTGGTTCCAGACCGACATGATTGACGTTATGGAGTGGCCAGCCCAATCCCCGGATCTTAATCCAATAGAAAACTTGTGGGGTGACATCAAAAATGCAGTTTCTGAGGCAAAACCAAGAAATAGAGAAGAATTGTGGAATGTAGTCCAATCATCCTGGGCTGGAATACCTGTTCACAGGTGCCAGAAGTTGGTTGACTCCATGCAACACAGATGTACAGCAGTTCTCAGAAACAGTGCTTATACAACTAAATATTCATTAAGTGATTCAAAGGAAAGCAAAATCTTCAAACTTTTTCAGTTTATATAGTGAATGTTTGAGTTTGTAAAGAATACAAATACTGCTATTTTTTTGAACAGTCTAATATTCACTTTTCTTCAATTTTTTTAGAGGAACAACACAAATTTGATATATTTTTCTTCATGCTTTGATTTGGAATAGAATGTGTAGTGTTCCCAATGCATTTGTGTGTATGGAAATAAAAGCTATTAGAAGGATTTTGAGCTTTATTCACTTTTTTCAACACACTGCTATTATTTTGAACACAACTGTGTATATATATATATATATATATATATATATATATATATATACACACACACACACACATATATATATATATATATATATATATATATGGTGCATATTCATTGACCAAAAGGATAGCCAAGGGGGCTAACCTGTTTTTGGATAGATATGTGGAAAGTCAGGGGGAGTTTCAGAGCAGGTTATTTGCAAATCCACCAGCATTGTAAAATGCATTAGATTTGGAAAGAAATAGCTTTTTTAACCCCTTGCTGTCCGGCCGCTGTATATAAACGGCCGGAGAGTGGCAGTCCAGGGCGGGTTGCTGTTCATAAACAGCGCCCGCCATTTTGGACTGTGTGCGCTCCCTGGGAGCACGCAGCACCGCGATCAAGTGCCCACTGTGTCCAGAGAACACTGATTGTCTGTGCGAGGTCCCTATCATATGATCACTGATTGCCCAATCAGTGATCACATGCAGAGTAGTAAGCAAGATGTCACTTCTGACATCATTGCTTACTACGTGTGAAATCTGTGAATGATCACAGAGGTCACATGGTACAAGGCTATTCACAACAGCCTTGTACCATGTGACAAGCTGTGACCAATCACAGCTCACACAGTATTTTTCAATGGCTGCAAGAATATAGCCAGAGAGGAGAAATGGTTGCTTTTACAGCCTTTATGGGTGTAAAAGCAATCAGTGTAAAAAAAAAAAGAAAAAATCTTCATCACCCCCCCACAAGTAGTACAGTGTCACCGTAGTGACACTGTACTGCTAGGGTGAAAGTATGTAAAAAAAAAAAAAAAAAACATAAATAATAATATACAAAATTTAAATAAAAATGTAAAAAAAAATTTAAATTATAATTTTTTGGTTATAAACTAATTTGGGGTATTTTTTTTTACTAAAAAGATAACTGAATAAATTTTGGCCAAGATTTATGATGAAATATTATTTATTTGCATAACTTTTTTCAAAATTTTTGGACTTTTTCATTTATATAGCAAAAAAAAAAATAAAAATCCCAGTGGTGAATAAATACCACCAAAATAAAGCTTTATCTGTCTCAAAACAATGCTAAAAAATTCATATGGGTACAGTGTTGCATGACCGCACAATTTTCATTCAAAGTGCATAGCGCTGAAAGCTGAAAATTGGCCTGCACAGGAAGGGGGTGAAACAGTCTGGTCTTGAAGTGGTTAAAGAGGTGGAGTCTTTACGTATGCAAGAGGGATAAAAACAAGCAATTTTCAATTAAACAGTATGAGAAGTATATGGTAAATGGATTTAAGGCATCTTAAATATTCATAGTGTACTTGTTCATGGTGAAGAAAATTTCAATGTGGGTATTGTGTCCACCTTTGTACAAGGAATTTAAAGATTGCAGTTTTGCCACAAACAAGACAAGGAGTATCTTTTTAACTTTTTAAATAAAATCTATGCATACAGCTGTTCTAGGTCTAGATACATTGTTTGTATTGCATGAGATCAAACATGCTAAAAAAAACAACCAATCAGATTGTTCGACACTTTGGTCAATGGGAAAAGGTGTATATTAGGGAAGGTTTTTCGGTTGAATGGTGACAGGAGAAAGTGGGTCCTCTGAAGGTGTCTGATGAATGCATGAATATTCTAAGTACCCTGTCATCTGCCTTGTCTGTACCTCTGTCTTATAGATTGTTGCTGAGCCCATTAAATCTCTCTCTATAAAAGAACTGTTGGACTTGTTGCTGGGGGAAAATACATTTATAAATACACTTGTCATCCTCTGTGTTGGATATAAGATAACACATAGTTGCATGACAAGTCACACAAGTGTGAATGAAGCCTTCATCTGTTATTTCACCTTTGTGCAATAAACAATTCCAGTTGCCTCCGAAAGAAGCAGACAGTGGTCCTCAAATCACAAATTAAATTGTTCTTGCCTTGCGGCTTTAAATTGAGTTCATTAAGGTGAGATGTTATGTCTGCTAGGAAAGCATTACTGTGCATTGTGCTTGCAAAAAAAAAGAGAAACTGGTTTGCTTTCTCTTCAGTTGTACTAAGAAAGTGTCTGCTTCTGTTTGAATGGACTAAAAATATTTCAAACCACTGCTTTTACTCAGCTATCTAAGACTATTGTACAGTAAAAAGCATTTTCCCCAACTTCTCTAAGAAATGTCTCAGTAGATTGTGTACATGGGATGAAGATACCCTGAGGAAGTTGATAAGTTTTATCATTGTGTCCATTGTTTCAGAAAAAAATGTTCTGACAGAATGGGTAACGGGACAGTTTGGTGAATGACACAGTGGTAAGCAATAAGGTCATGGTTGTCCTTTTTCAGCCATGCCACAGCTCCTCTCTCCTTTTCTACCATGACAGGGGCATCATCTGTGGTGACTGAGACCATATTTTTCAGATCTATCCTCCTCTTTCTCAGCATGTCCCTAATGACCTTATATATCGTATGTCTTATCCTCTTGTATGTGTCTTACAAAGTTCTTTTGTTTCTTTATAAAAAAGAATCTTACATACATTACATACAAAAGCTGAGCATTAACAGTTATATCTGTTGATTCATCAATAGCTAAGGAAATGCATACTGCACTCTGAATAGCTGCTTCAAGCTGTGCCATTACATCCTCTGTTATTATTTCAGTCTTTTTTGTTGGTGTTGAAGCTGACATTGAGATTTGGTTGCTTTTTTCACATCTCATCTTTTTGTTTTCCATCAAGTAAAGTTTCAGCAATAGAATTCAAGCAGTCCTTTACAAACATATCATCAGTAAATAGCCTTTTGTGGTGCCTCAAGATCCATGCTGCTTTAGGTGAACATTCATTTGGAAGCTTCTGGGCTGTAATTGAATGTGAGAGGACGTTGGTGGGTCTGTCTGGGCTCCCAATTCAGTTGTTTTATTAATATTATTATTATACAGGATTTATATAGCGCCAACAGTTTGCGCAGTGCTTTACAAAATGAAGGTAGCCTTTACAGTTACAATACAATTTGGTACAAGAGGAAACAGAGGGTCCTGCTCGTTAGAGCTTACAATCTAGGAGGAAGGGTTGAGTGATATAAAAGGTAATAGCTGTGGGGGGGATGAGCTGATGGAGGAAATACATGGTGGTTTACTAGGTAGAAGCAGGATAGACTTCTTTAAAGAGAAAGATTTTTAGGGATCATCTAAAGGTGGATAGATTAGGAGATAGCCGGACAGATTGGGGTAGAGAGTTCCATAGGATGGGAGAAGCTTGGGAGAAGTCCTAGAGGTGAGCATGGGAGGAGGTGACACGGGAACTGGAGAGCAGAAGGTCTTGGGAGGATCGAAGAGAGCTGTTTGGTTGATATTTTGAGACCAGGTTGGTGATGTAGCTGCGGGCAGAGTTGTGGATGGCTTAGTAAGTTGTTGTTAGTATTTTGAATTTAATTCATTGAGCGAGTGGAAGCCAGTGGAGTGATTGGCAGAGAGGGGTAGCAGACACTGAACGGTTGGTAAGGTGGATGAACTTGGCAGCAGTATTCATGATGGGTTTTAGGGGAGGTTGCCTATGTTAAGGTAAGCCAATGAGGAGGGAGTTGCAGTAATCGAGTCGAGAGATTGCCAGGGAGTGAATTAGGAGCTTTGTGGTATCATTGGTTAAAAAGGGGCGTATTCTGGAGATGTTGCGGAGGTTGAGGCGGCATGATTTGGACAGGGATTGGATGTGGGCCTGAAAGGATAGTTCAGAATCCAGGGTTACACCTTGGCATGTAGGGATGGGTTGATGATAGTGGTGCTATTGGTCCTGACTGAGAAATCAGGGGAAGAGGCACGTGGGGAAGGAAATATTATGAGTTCAGTTTTTGATAGATTGAGTTTTAGGAAGTGGAGTGACATCCAGTCTGATATGTCTGTTAGTAAATTGGTGATACATGTGGAAACTGATGGGGTGAGCTGAGGAGTTGAGAGATAGATTTGTGTGTCATCAGCATAGAAATGGTATTGGAAACCATGGGAAGCTATCAGCTGACCCAAGGAAGAAGTGTAGATCGAGAATAGGAGAGGTCCAAGGACAGAACCTTGGGGGACCCCGACAGTGAGAGGAGTAGGAGAGGAGGAAGTAGAGTTGTAAGTGACAGTGAAGGTGCAGTGAGATAGGTAAGATTCAAACCAATGGAGAGTATAGTCATGGAGACCAAGTAAATAGAGTTTTTCGAGGAGGAGGGGGTGGTCAACTGTGTCAAAGGCAGTGGAGAGGTCCAAAAGCAAGAGTAACGAATAGTGACCATTGGTTTTAGCAGTTAGTAAGTCGTTTGTGAATTTTAGAA